GAGAAAGTACCAATGTGTGGGGCTGTTCTTATTTGATCAAGAAATCAAGCAGTATTTTCTGGTTGTTAGCTCAAGCCTCTGATTTTAATGGATTAGTACCATAAGAGTATTTTTTCTGAAAGCATTCAGCAGAGTTCAGTACAGCAACAATCTTTTCATGCCGTCTTCACATTTCTAAGATAAAAGAAGGGCCCACAATAGTTCATGACATGCCTAATAGCAGATGAGAAGATGGCCCTGCTCAGTTTCAAAAGGAAGGTATGAAATTAAATAAAAACAAAGATGGATGAAACAATATATGCTGAAGCACAAATACATAGGTGAAGGTGTACAACACTTGCCTCTGCAGCCTTGTCTGTCAGGAGTGGCCTGGTACCCAGAGTTACAGGAACACTGGTATGTTCCAACCATGTTCACACACTTGCCATTTCTGCAGAGATTGTCACTTAACGAGCACTCATTTACATCTGGAAAAAAGTAATTCATATCAATTACTTGTTACTCAGAATGCAGACTCCAACTGCTCAAATGCCAGAGAAAGAGGGTGAGAGGTAATATTTTAAACTGGTGGCTTTCAAGCTTTTTCAGTTTCTTTCTTGTTCTTAGCATGTTCCAGTTCAATGTATGGAGCTCTGAACAGTATGCTTAAGCCAGTGTCCAAAGGTTTATCTTTTTCGTTTCTGGTCTGTGAGCATTAACTGCACAGTCGGCTGGTGTAAATCAACTCTTGAAGCAACTATGCATCAAACGCAGAAACCAAAGAGATAATATGTATTATGTTTTTGCATTTTTTTTACCTTTTTGGTGAATCGTGCAAAAAGGAGAACTGCATTTCAGTAAGGAGCAATATTTTTTTGTGACTGTAGGAATGAAGTTCACTGTGTGCTTGAATGTATTTTACTTGAAAGTTGCCAACATGAGTGGTACAGTCCTTTGAGTTGCTAAGTAATCCCTAAGATGCCTGGGAAAATACTCCTTTTTGAGGTCAACAGCATTAAGGGCACTGAAGATTTTACAGGATCTGTTACAAGGTTTTAATTTGAAGATACTCATATAAAGGAGGAGGATAATTTGTATAAGATATCCCCAGGACCCCATCCTTGCCAGAGACAAGAAGTTTTCATAGTACAAATGACCACTTTTCTTAGAAAGCTGAAGACTACTATTCTGAGTTGAAACTCACCTATGCATTCCTCACGTGATGGTGACAGCTCATGTCCCAAAGGACAGTCACACTGAAAACTTCCTTCAGTGTTCACACATGTGCCACCTCTACACAGCAGAGGGTTGCGTTCACATTCATCAATATCTGTGAAGAAACCATTATAAACAAATATAAAATCATTACTAAGGGGCAACAAAAAGAAAAGCAATTCTCAGTGTCTGTAACTGACAAAATCTGGAGGTCACAATTATAAGGACTGTTTCATTGAAGCAGTACTGCTCCTTTCCTCATACTGCATAGCAAGGCAAACAAAGAACTATACATTATTAACTCTAAAAATGGGTATTTTTCCCCTGAAGAAAGCCAGAAATTCATCATTCAAAATTAAGTATTCTAGGAGACAGAGGACACAAGAAAAGATGGCAACCATCCAAACAGTTGCTATTTAGAACAATGTATTAATGTGATGAAATTTTTAAAAAAGTGCTTGTTAATGCAGAAACCCATTTATGTATGCATTCAAATTGTTGTCTATGGATGCCGTTAATGGGAATGTGTATGTAAACTTTTAACTAAATGGCTGTTCAGTTTGATGACTCCTGCATATGTTGTGGCTGAGAAATACGCTTGCTACAACTTACAATGGCAAACTGAACATTTGACTCACAAATCTGATAAAACCAGCTAACACTGTAGATGTGGCTAAAAAGCTATCCATGAAACTAGAGACTTCTATTCAGATAGGCAGACTAGCATTACCTTTCATTAGCCTGAGAATTTAGCCAAGACATCATTGGGTTTTGCAGGTTATTCACACGAGGGGAGAAACTGCCTGATGATAGAAAACAACATCTCTTTTGCTATACTCCTGCTTGGATAGTGCTTGGAGATCTAAAACGTTTTCATTGAACACTATGCCTTCCGTTTCTTAGTTTCCTGCAAAAGGCCCTCAAGAAGTAATTTCTCTTCTTATCTCCTCTCTCTTTATCTTCTCTCTCCTTATTTGACATCTTGCTTCCCTGCCTGTGTCTTACAGATAACACATCTCCACCATACAGTACTGATTCTCTGCATTTGTACTCTGTCTCTCATGAAGGCTATTCAGCTTCCACAGTTTAGCTTCTCTGTTTTATCATCTGTGATTCAGCCAATGATTTTTTGCTGACTTTTGGAGTCTAAAAGCATCACAATTTGGAGGAAATCAAGTAAGTGTGACAGGAGGCCTGCATGGCCTCCTGGCACACATGGATCTGTGATTCAGCCAATGATTTTTTGCTGACTTTTGGAGTCTAAAAGCATCACAATTTGGAGGAAATCAAGTAAGTGTGTCCTGTCACACATGGTCCTGTGACCATTTATTTGAGTTCAGATACGAACTCAAAAGCTCCTGACAAAACTCAAACACAAAAAGGAAGCATAAAATAGGCAAAAGCAGGAACAGGTGATGCAGGAGAAATACAGAGGCACTGACTGAGTGTGCCGGGATGGGGTTAGGAAAGCCAAAGCCACCAGGATTTGACCCTGGCAAGGGATGTGAAGGGTGTAACAGCTGCAGCAAAAAGAAGAGGGGAAATGGGGGAAGGGAACTGCTGACAAAGGACATAGAAAAGACCCATCAGTGCTGAGATCGAGCTGGCCGATGTCCTTTTGAAGTCCCCTCTGATCATCCTTGAAAGGTCACGGAAATTAGGTAAGGATTTTTAGGGTGGGAGGAGAGGAAATGTCAATCCAATCTTCAAGAAGGGCAAGGAGGAGGACCAATTTAGCCTCATCAAGATGAAAATCTCATACTTTTCATTTTCATTATCTATTCCATAATGTATTTCATGATACTAACTCCATGATACTAACTCAAGATTTTTTCAGGTGGCTAGTAACTTTTGGTGTCTCCATATCTATTCTTACAACTTTAGACAGATTAGAGATGTCATTTTTCAGGAAATGCTCTCAGAATTTCTTGAGTCCTAGAAGAATCAAGGAAAAGTGAATCACACTACTTTTGAAACTCCAGCCTTCTATTCCGAACTTTGCCAAATGTTTTGATACCTCATTAGCCATTTTTAAACTATGCGAATTAATAGTTGCTGCCATTCTAAAATATCTACACAGAAATGTGTAAAAGTAATTGACAAAAACAACAAGCAAAACTATATGCATAGTTCAGTTACCTGTCCTATAAACTGTATATCTGTCTCATTTGTTTGAGAAGTCACAATAATTATACATATGAAGTGTTCTGTAGAGCAGAGCTAGTATAGTACAGAGTACAGTCAGGCTTTGTACAGTAAATGGACAGACTCCAGGTCATTCTGGCAACACTTACCCATACAGTTCTTCATCATCATAAATCCACTTTCGTAACCATCAAAGCACTCACACTCAAAGCTTCCAGGAGTGTTGACACAAGTACCACTTCCACACAAGTCTGGGGAGATCCGGCACTCATCAATGTCTATTTTATAGAGGTAGAAAAATCAGAGTTTAAGGTTATCCTGCTTTTCACAGAAGTGAACAATTGGCCTTTATAAATTAACTCTACAGAAATCATACCTAGTATATAAATCAACAGATAAAAACAAAATTAATTTAATATTTAAAGGAATATCTGATTATGTGAAACAGTCTGTGGAAGATTCATAATGCAATGCCTTCAGAGGTCTCAACTATAAATTAAACTATGTAACAACTAGGCTTCCATTAAGTACAATTTAAGGTTAGATTTCTAAGGAAATTACTAACTGTAACAAATTCTGAGTTGTTATTATTACAGATTTACCAACTGACTCCATGACTACAATGCCATTGATATTAAATTGCTTATTGTGAAGACATTTATCCAGTAATAGCATTATAAGCTTACATATACCCTTTCTGTTAGGAATTAATGTAGCTCCTTTAAAAGTTAGATTTACAGTTCACTGGTTATCTTATTAGTTAAGTTTGAATGAAACTTACTGTGGAAAACTATAGCAGGTTTGTAGAAGGTAAAAAGAAAAGAGAAGGAAGAGCTTGTTGTAAGACACATTGGTAGTGAAGGAGGAGGCTAAAGAGGAATTTGTAATACAGATATGATGCAGTGAAATAGGTCGGTGTTGAAGGAGAGGACTGGAAAGAACTGGATAGACTGTTATTTACTATCTCCTCACATCTTTGCAGACTTCTCTCTTCCTTACTCTACTGCCCATGCAGTGTTTTTGCGGTCAACTAGGGTTCAATGCCTTTGTCTCATGTTCTCCACTATACCCTCTACCTTCAGCTTTTTTCACTACTGTGTCTTAATTTTTACATATTAAGAAATCATGAACTCTTTACAGGGAATAAAAATAACAGAATATTTGAAACAATGAAGACATTATTCCAGGATAGGGCATAGGATTGGTTCTGTCATCCAAGAAGTCCAGGGAGCAAGGAATCAGAGAAGAGCATCAACATGTCTGCAGTAAGTTTGTGAGCTGGGCAGTAGACTCATTTGTGTAAGCAGTTGAGGAAAACTAGGCAAGTATAAGCTTTAAGCTTAACTAAAGAAACTGCTAAGGATTTAAAACAGTTCTTTTTTCACCACATAAAAGAGTCTCTTTTGTCTGTGTGCCACTCCCCATGGCCAGGTTTCTGCCAGGTGAAGATAGTTCAGTCCTCACACACAGCTGTGTGGAGGTGTCAGATGGTAACCCATGTGGTGTGCCTGGTGTGTTACAGGGTATCTGGCCTCTGCATGCTTTATAAAACATTTTGTTGCTAATTTAAAACAAAACAAAAAAAAGTCTTCTGTTTAATAAAACCTGGTTCTCTACAGCTGCCCAGTGGAACATTTTCATCAGAACAAACTTTCAATGGAAAACAGAACCAAAACCAGCTTTTGCAGGGAGAAGTTTTCTGACCTATTCTTGTTAGGTTAGAAATAAAGTTTGCTAAATGCATTTCTCATCAATGCAATCACTATAAAAACAAGGAAATCACCAGTTAGGGCAACATTAACGTCCAGACCAACCTCAGTTAACATGCCTTACCACCCACGCTTCATATTACTCAGACTCACTCATAGATGCCTGTGTGGTATAACAAAACCTCCTTCATTTTCAGCACATAGCCACCCACCAAGCAGGCATCCACGTTTCCTTAACCAGAAAACTATCAAGCTTATCTTCTGTTTCAGTTTTTCCAGGCAGTAAATAACAAAATACTAAACTTTTAAATTAAATGCATGTCTCTTCTTGAGGTAACGTTGCAGTCATGTCAGAATTGCAGAGGGTACTCTGTGTGTGCTTGGCTATGAAATCTAAATGAAAATTGATTTGCAGTAGTCTCTAAAGTCATTTGGTAATACAATGACCAGAGAGTAAGGAATATAAATTACGTTAATCTGTGTGTTAAAACATTGAACTTGGCTTCGCTGGTGATCCTTATTGATTTTTCAGGTTGTACCAATAGAGCATGACCTGAGCATGTTTAACACCAATTTTAAAAATTCCTAATGTATATGTACAAGAAGAATGTTACATTGTTACATTTCTTAAAGAATCACTTTCTGAAAGGGAAACTTAAGACAGTTGGCCATTCTGCTCAAAGATTAAGCTCTTAGAAACTGAAGGAAATGAATGACATTAAGTTTCCAGATCACCAATCTATGCAACAAGCGCAAGTTCCTTTAAAATGCCCCAGAGACGTGGTAGATTCCCCATCACTGGATGTTTTCAAGATGGACAGAATGGCAGGTAATCTCATCTAGGCTCCCTTTCCCACAAAAGGTTGAAGCAGATGATCTTTTGAGGTCCCTTTCAACCTGGACTATTCTATGATTCTAGGAAAAACTGGGAAAATACAAGACTTACCTGTACAGTTTCTTTCCTCCATATCTAAAGTAAACCCACTGTTACACCTACATTTGAAACTTCCAATTGTGTTTCTGCATTTACCATTCATGCACATACCAGGGAACACTTTACATTCATTGATATCTATGAAATAAAAACAAAAGAGCATTCTTAAGCACAAATATATATAAAAAATTAATGGGAATTTCCTATTCCTTCTTACCAGTTGTGTTGGGCATAAGAGGCAGGGTTTGGGTTGCAGAGGAGTGGAAGAATGGCCTCCTCCTACACAGGTTAGGAGGATGGAAAAATGAAATGGAGGAGGCAAGCAGGAGGGGACATTGTTGGAGACATAACTGGAGATGCACTCTTCAAACGCAAAACTCCATGTCCGAGGAGGAACACCTGAGGGACTGCCACCCTGGAGGACCTATGTCAGGGCAGAGACACCCCTGAGGGACCGCAGCCTGTGGAAGACCCACACCAGGGCAGGGACAGCCCTGAGGGACTGCAGCTCTGGGTGACCCATGCCAGGGCAGGGACGCGCCTGAGGGACTGTGGCCTACAAGTGACCCAAGCAGGGGCAGGAACACCCTGAGGTACAGTGGCCCACGGAGCGTGCATGCTGGGGCAGAGACACCTCCGAGGGATTGTGACCCACATGCAAATCCTGCTGCGGTAGGGAGATCCCTGAGGGACCATGACCTGTGGGTGATCCATGCTGCAGCAGGGACACCCCCCCAGGGACATGTACATGAGTGACCCACATTGGGGCTGGGACATCCTGAAGGAGCATGGGATGTGGACAACATGCTGGAGCAGGAACACCCTTGAGGGCCTCTGTCCCATGGAGGAGCCCATGCCATGGAACAGGAAATGAGTAAGAAGGAAAGAGGAGCAAAAGAAAAGACTAAGCAACAAGGGGTGACAAAGAGAAACCATTGCAGTGTCCCCAAGGCTCTGTGCTGCCAACTGCCTCATCCATGGGACTAGGGGGGCTGGACACCAAGAAGGGTGGAAGGGAGGTGCTGGGCTGAAGATGAGCCTGGGGGTAGCGGGGACAAGATGTTTCCCTACCTGTTGAATTCTTTATGCTTTCTTCGCCTCTCAATACCCAAACCAGTAATTGAAAGTTTATATTAATCAGCAATCAACCAAATTCAGTGAAATTACAAGAGCTGAGACTCTTTTACCCATGATGCCAATACGTGTATTGTGCTCCATTTTGCTTTCTGACACAATGAATATTCATGGTGTTCCTGAGCCAGCTTGTAAGAGATGTAACTATTACCTGGTTAATTGTTTTTTTTTTTTTTTAAATTGAGATTGCCAGAGTGATATTTGGAGCTCATTTTAGAAAAGGGTAGCTTTTCTTTTGTAGAGTACCAAATGAAAAGTTTCACCTCTTCTAAATGTGTTTTGCTGGACACCTGGATAACACAGTCTGTTAAAGGATCTTGCATAGGACAAAAAGGGTTTTTCATGTGTCAGCCTCTCTCATAGGCACACCCCCAACAGCATTTAGGAACTTGAATGAGCTTTTCTTACACTCTTATAATATAATTTGCTGGATGAATGTTCTTACCCGAGAATCATCTTTGATGAAACAAACTTCTATCTCCCATGTATTAGTGTGAATGGAATAAAAGTGTGGTCCAAATACAAAACCAGAAACAAGAAGCAAAACCTTAAAAAATCTTGGAGTGGGCAAGATTTTATTATTAATTAATTAAGAATTTATTATTTCTAATTAAATAAATTTCAATAAACAATTACATTATTATTAAATTCCTTTTGTTTAGTAAATCACCACTGAATATTCAGAGCTTTGCCTGAGAATAGTAACTCCTGAAAATCAGAGCTTACTTATGGTGAAACAGAGGTCCAATCTGTTAAAGTTTTCTCAAGCAACTCAACATACTTCAAGACAAATGCTTCAGAATACATCCTTTTAAAAATAAATAAAACACTAAACCACTTCTGGATCACGTCAGCTTCTGCACACATTTGCAGTTTTTCTTCTCAGATCTCAGTCACCTAAAATATCTCAGATGTAGTTTCTGAACACTTTCCAACCTCTTCAGTTTTGTTTTTGCCCTACAGGAGAGGAAGCTAGTAAAAACTGGACAAAAGGCTCTCATTTACTTCTTCATCACCGCAGCTCCTCGTTATCATGGCCCTCATAATTTTAATGCAACAGACACCCTTCCCTTTTAATCACTTACTAATTCTGCAAACCACAGGAAGAACCCATCCTTCTTCAGCCTCTCTTTCAGAAAACCCTAGCCAAATTTTAGTAATATTTCATGTTTACATCTTAAGTCCTTGACTTTATGGAACTTCACCTGACCCTCAGTTCACTCTTTGCAAAGCATTACCTTAAAACAGGTGAACATTTTCTGTTATTCTCATAATTCTCGTAATTTTTCTTCCCTGCCTTCAGTCCTGTCATAGTCATTTCCTTTTTCTCCTTACCAAATTCAAACTTTGCACCTTTTCCTTTTAGGCTCCTGTAACACTCTTGAGCACCATGCAAGCAGGGAGTTTCTCACCTGTAAGGTCAGCTCTTTCAGGCAAACATCTTTATAACATCTCTCATCTCAAGTACATAACAAACATAGACACAAATCCTGGCATTTCACCCAGATGTACCTATAATTAGATCCAAGAAGGAACCCTTACCTTTATAAAATGGTCTGCCAGTTAGAATATCTCCCCTGTTGGAAAAGCCAGGACCTCTGGGGCACAGAGCCTCATATTCCTTGGTGCCAGGCTTAGGACACTCCTCACAGTCGGAGCCCCAGGCAGCCCCCACAGCACAGCAGCAGGCATCCATACGAAACTTGCCAGGCACAGACTGAATGCACTCATCTTCATCCCATTTCAGGTAGCATTGCTCCATGCGAATATCTGCTCATTTTACAACAACAAATAGGCATTTTACCCTTTGCTAAAGATTTTTGTTTTTCAGAAGCACCTATTTCTGAGGCACAAGTACTTGCGAGGCTTAGTTTCTGGGAGGAAGACTTCTGCTCAAGACTCTACACTTCTGCACAATGTTCAACCATTTGAAGTTGCTAATACTGCACTATAGTTAACTTTCTGGATCTCTGCTGTACCACTTAAAAGTACAAGCATTTCTTTTGTTGTCTCCCAATATCAAGACATTACTCTGACATGGTTGTGGTTTTAGGTTTCTATGTGTATTTGATAGGACAGAGACATGTATTTCTTTACTGTATCAGGTATTCTCATTTACAAATTGACCTGCATTCATGGCAAAAAAAAATCTTCCTAACTATGTTTATAGTATTATATTAATTTAATAATACAAGGAATACAGAAAAAAAAAATTGCTGGCCATTGTTAGGCTTACTTTAACACCAGTTAGCAGGGGAAAACAATATGGCTTCCAGAAAAATTAATTATTGGCATATTCAAGTGTCCCATTTGCAGAAAAGCAGGTCAACCAAAAGATAGATCAACCAAGTGTGCAGGCAAAATCTGTACTTGCATACCCAACTTTCAGGAAAAGTACCACACACTGGTCTGTACACAGAAAAAATCAGCTTTGCTATATCTCACATACAGTAAAAAATAACAATACTAACCCATTTGAAAGCATCAGTACATTCTACACTTTTCACCTATTTGTATTTCAGTAAAGAAAAATAATTTAAATTTTTTAGAAAATAAATTAGTATTTGTCAAAATATAAAATTGGTATAAAAACCGGGTTGTTAAGTCTCTACATGCTGATTTCTACAACACAGGAGAATTTCTATGCCCAAATTCCAAAAATCTGGCAAATAATACCAATAATGGGAAATAGACAGTATCAAGTACAGCAGTGCTAGAGAAGATGTCTGTGATAATATACAGAAATTTATTGGTAGCTTAATGCTCTCCAGAAAAAGAGAGTTATTTCCAGTGTGTAAGGAACATCACAAGGACACACTGTGTCTGATAAATTAACTTCTGGACATATTCTAGAGCCTCCTGGCATGAATGAAATGGACTGGAGGTCAAGCCGTATTTTCAGGATAAATATAAGCATTAATGTTTCATGTGATATACTGGACTGGAAATTAGGCTTTAGCAAACCTAAGAGTACTCTTAAATGCTTAGGGCAAAAAGCTTTGGAGAAGATGCAAGATCTAAAAATAACACAGATGAGCTGCTGAACTGTTTTCCATACGAGCCTTTCAAAGCTGTGCAGATTTATAATATAAATTTACCCTATGCAGTCTAAAGTTAAACAATTTAGAAGCAAGTATACAAAATGGAAATTGTTCAAAGAATACTCATGGTTTCCTGTAAACTATACCACATCAGATCATATTTATTTTCATTTCCAGAGATTCAGAAAACATACTGCTAATAAATACTTGTTTGCACTAAAATCACTGTAGTGGATCCTGTAGGAATTAAACATATTTCAGAAATACAAGACATAATGCACAGTGCTTGTGTAGCACAGGAGAAGGCACAGATCTTGTAATGTAAAAGATCATTTTGTCATTAAAATAAGAAAAGGGAACATGGCTTTGAGGGTAAAGGAATCCTGTGTCTTGCTTGAAAATGGCTCCTTTGTTCCAACTTTTTATTATATCTATAAACCACAATTAAATTCACACCTATCCTTATCAAATTTCTCACTGAGAAATAGTACAGGGTTGATGGCCACAGGTGCCAGTGACTGGCAACAGAATTACTAAGTTTGGGGGGGTTGGGGTAGAATATCCAGTAAAACCTAACATGCAAAACTGTGTATGATATGCATAAAACATAATGCATATGTGCATCTGGGCAGACTTGGGTTTGACTTGTTTCTTTTTTCTGAGACATTTATATTGATTGTACACAACTGCTTCATTTCAAAATTCTGTTTATTTTATTAAGTATCTCTAGAATTACACTCATAGTCACATTAAAATACCCCACAACCTGGTAACTGTTTGTATCGGCTATTGGTAAGACATAGTGCAATTAAAGCAGAAGTGTTTGCTTAAATGTGAGTCTGCTTGAGGAAAGAGAACACTGTTGAAATATGAAAATAAAGGTTAGAGTAGGAAAATCCTTGACATGAAGCAAGGGCTGAAAAATTTTTTTTCCCCCTGCTGCACTGTTTTCTTAAAATAAATCAATGCTGTCAGTAATCATATTTTTACAGTTCTCAGAACTGGTAAGAAAAATTAATATGAATTCCAGAGTCTATTCTGAACATCCAGTGCCCTGACTTTATCTTTTTTCATCTCTGACCATTGATTTATGAAGATGCAGATAACTACACTAACTACACTTGCTACAGGATACTTATGTTTTCTTAAACTTACACAGGGGTTCAGTATTTTTTATACCTGAAGTCTTTCCTACAGAACTCGTATATCATCTCGGACATTATGTTTTATCAGCAGAAGATACTAACCAGTACAACACAGATAAAAACTTATTTTTATCTATACTCATTTTGATTACTCTCAGACAGACCAATTTGCACCAACATATTCGTGCTACAAGGTAGCATCTAAGTTTCACAAAATGACTGGACAGCAATAAAGAAGAGCACTGTTCACACTGCATTTTAGGCTGCTGGCTGACCAGCTGACTGCTTATCATCTAGCTCCCAGCGACTCACACATTTCTGTTCGTGAACAAGGGTCAGAGTAAGGGCAGCACTCTAGCAAAACCTGTTGATTGCACTATGGGCAAAACAAGTCTTAACACAAACATTTATATTCCCCCACGGGATTAACAGCTCTTCCCTGAACTGGCACAGGCATTTGATATCCAAGCAGGCATCAGCTAAAATGGACGCTTAACAAACGGCTTTCGAAGGAATTCAGAAACAAACCAAACGTCCTTTCATACCCCTTTGAGAATAATTTTGGACAACTGCTGGACACAGCTAAAAAGGTGGCGGAGTTGAGTGCGCTCTTACCTAAACACACTCGCCCTGTTCCATCCAGTGTCAGTCCTTCAGGGCACTCGCAGTGAAATGAGCCTCTGCTGTTAACGCACCGTCCGTTGGGACAAACCCCCGGGAAGACATCACACTCATTTACATCTGTTGGGGAAACAAAGAGTTGAGTTACATGCTAACTCGAAGGAGAGAGCTACAGCTTTATTGAGAATCTAAGCTACACTAAAGAAAGCCAGAGGCTTTCATCCACACTGTATTAGGGTCTAAACACTGTTCTGAGCAAACATCTGGCTCAGTCTCAAGGGACGATCTTCAAGTCATAGGACACTAAGATGCCACATTCTCTTCTCAAAGACAAGATGATTGATAGGGCTGAGAGAATGGAAAACCTAAAGGGATTCAATGTATTTTGAAGGAGCAGTTCTATTCTCTTTGTATCGTTTTGATATTCTCCAACAAAATGGTGTAACATAATACTTCCCAGCAGTCAGTAACTGTTTGTGAAGGCATTCATCTAAGGTCAATATGATTATGCCTGACAAAAACAAAAACATAATAAATCCCCTTTTATCTCATTTTCAAAGGCAAAAAAAGTGACATGTTGAGTAAGAAGCAAAAACTTCACCTTCACAGGTAACACCTTTCACTCTGGCAAATCCTCTTGAGCAAGCTGTGTCTGGAATCAAGTCAGAAAGACATATCACTGCTTTAGAATAAGACAAATATAGGAGTAAATAATTTAAAAATATATGTATCTTTGGAATTCTGTAATAATTTGACTGTATAAGGTGGTGAGTGCTAGAGCCTCAACCAAGTACTGACTCATACATGTTACTTAAAACAAGTGAATAGTTGAGGAAATGAAATCTTAGACAATTACTTTCTCATGTGCTTTCCTTAATGGGGCCCAGAATGCTCAGCATCTAATCATACCAATCTCTGCACTCAGATGTAGCTGAAAGGTAAATTTCCTGTAAAGTTGCCTGCAGATTTAAAGCTTTAGTGATGCCAGTTATCACTAAAGGCTTTTTTCCACTGCAGTTTAATAAAGGATCTGAGCAATGAAATTATTTTAGAATATGCATGTAAAACGTAGCATGATGTAGTGATATGAAAGCTTGCTGAAATTTAGCTAGTTACAGAATAGGAAATTAAATAGCCAAATGTACGCAGTCTGAACTAATTAGCTCTCTAGATTGATTAGTTTTCATTAGTTTTACCAATCTAACCTGACCATGCTGCTTCCTGGAGTCCAAAGTAATATCTTTGCTTCATGCTGCACTGCACAGTTAAGAGCTCTGTTGGATGTTGTTTGCACCATGCTTGTTAGATGGGATACATGTGCCCACAGTTATTGTTCCAATTAAAAATGAAAGGCTAAAATGTCCTGACACTGTTTCAGCTGCAAGTGGCATTATTCAAACCTTATGGGGAGAATGCGGCACAGCATTTTTCCCACAAACTAGAGCACACATTTAGAATTCCTGCTTCCAACTTCTAGACCTGGCCCTGTAATTTAGTAGTACTACTATTCTGCAATCAATAATTGTACATAAACTATGTGTCTGAAAACAGCTGGAAAAAGTGTTAACAGTCTACAACATAAAAAGCCCTCAAGACTTTCAACAGATATTTCACTTTATCATTGTAGTCCTTACTTCCCTACCCCAATGCACAGTTCCTGTGGAGACGAAACATATGCAATTATTAAAAGATTTAGTCACATATTATTTCCTGGTAACTTCAAAGTTATTAGAATGATCTCTGATGGCAGAGGTTACAAGTGATGCTAAAGACAACTTCATTTCATAGGTTTTTTGTTTTGTCTGTTTGTTTGTTTTCTATACAGAAAATGATGAGAATCTGTCTAGTGGTACTTCCTCTCCTCTCCCAAAAGATGCAGGATACGACAGCATACCTAATTCACATCGCTCACATGGGCTGCCCCAAGCTGCTCCTAAGGTAGCACAGCATTCAGATTTCAGTGTAGCACCATTGATGTTGATTTCACAGCGACTGTCTTGGACGTTAAGCCAGCAAGTCCCCTTCAGGCTATCTGCAGTGGAATAGAAAACAATATGTAATTTTCACAGCAAAAAGAGCTGGCACGCCATGTTCATGCCACCAGTAGACAGAGTACCAAGGGAGTGCAGGCTCTCTTTTAAAAGAAAACCATCCATCAGAGTATTTTGTACACATTTTGGTTTAGAAGTGGTGGAAAGGAATAGCACTATCATTAAAAGTGCGCAATAGAGCACACTGCTCGAGGCATTTTACAGGTCACACAGCTAGGAGAGGTCCTCCAGATACTACTGTGGGTTTATTTATGTATTTTATCTAGTGACTAATCAGTCTAAAATGCACAAGTTACGACAAAAGCAGAGATCACAAGCTGGCACTCCCCCTTCCAGCTGACTGCCTGAACCACTGGGTTATGAAATCCAGGTGCTCTCGCCTCTTTCACTCAGTGAACCTTCAATGTTGTCAGGAAGGAAAAAAAGATAAAAACGTGGGGGATAGGGGTCTGATATATTCTTTTAGGGGTCTGGTTCTGCTGGTGCCTTAGCTATGCTTTGAACATGCCTGTTACGTTACACACCACTCTCTGCTCTTGAGAGGCTCAGCCCCAGCACACCCAGTTCCTGAATCACAAATTGGATTGCCAGGCTGGGAACCGGGACCAGCTCAGGGCAAACCCATTCCAGTAAGTCCCCAGCCATGTCAGGCAGCACCTCCTGACTGCTGCCCAGGCTAGACAGCCACTGAGCAGAGGGAAGATTTTGATCCACAACTGTTGTCTCTGCTGCCTGAACTCCTCTGAAACTCTCTTTTAGGCACCCAAATCTTCAAGTCTTAAAATCTACACTTTCACTGCCCAAGCCATTTTTTAAAAAGTTCAGTTAGATCCTAAATCACTCAAATACTTTAAAAGTTGTACCTACAGCACCTTTGCTCAGTGCCTTTACAATGTGGCACTCAAATGGTATAAAACTTCTTGAAGCAGACAACAACCTTTGTGATCAGATAGCAAAAGCAGTCTGTAAAGATCTAACCCAGATTGGGAGGTCAGCCTAGGTAGAGTTTAAATGAATGTGCACATTCAGAGTTCAAAGCTAAGCAAGTGGCCCAGATGAATTTAATGAGCTGACTAATGAAAGAGGAATAGGATTTGGCTTTAAGATTTATGTATATTATACAGACAAAAAGCCAAACCATCTATTAGGTACTGTTGGTCAGTATTAGTAATACCTCATGTTTAGGAACAATGTGCTTAAGACAGAATCATTCCAGCTTATTTTTTTCAAACAACTTCAACTTTTCCACAAAATTGTCATGTTATAAAATTATGTAGCCCACAGAGAGCACAACCCTTCTTTGGCTAAAGTAACAGGAAAAAAATTGGCCCAAGAATGTTACTGGAATCAGCCCTAGAAACTGGGCATTGTACTTCATTAACAGGTAACTGTAAAACAGTTGTATTATTTACGTTAATGCTTGTCTCAAACATGTGGGGCAGAACACCTAAACAAGTGCACAAACCAACGAGGGGTACAGGAGAGTGGAAAAGGCATCTTTTCCACACCTTGATCAGCCTTTAGGTAACAGACGTGGGTTAACATAACAAGACCAAAGACGAAACCTGGACAGTCATTAGCTGGGTCACCTCTTAACCAGTCATGGGATGGGCATGTCCCTGGTCATCAGATGTCCCAAATTCTGGGACCAACATGGGGAGAAGGAATATAGGTTCTTCAGCTTCTCTTTTACGCCACATCTAGCTTGCTGCCCATATGATGATGATTCTGTTTTGTGTCATCAAAATGTACATGCTTCCATTGCTTGATTTGCTAGAAGTTTCTTGAGCTCAGTATTATTTCTTTTTAGTAGCCAACTTTACAGGATGGAAAAATTAAACTATTATCTCAAAAAATTTTTAAACTATACAAATTAGCAGGTGACTTCCCTCACACTAGCTGCATCTACATTATCCTGCCAAAGTCTGCTTGTCTTATCTTTTTCAGGCTGTGAGTTAATTTCCTTTATTTTACATAATCTCTCTTTTCCAAATGAAATCTACAACTGGCAGTCACTGTGACTTTTGCTTTGGTGAAAAAGTTACTATCCAGCATCAAAGCATTCTTTCTTTGCTTGCAACTCTTTGATTCTGACTTGAAAAAGAATATATGCATGCTACAGGCAGATGGCAGCCTACTTACTGTGCACTGGGTGAATTCTAGAAATCTTGACTAAAACATGCATAAAAAGCATATATTAAGTATGCATTTCAAAAAGCATAAATGGCAGTATCCCTACTGTATGAGCAATTCCCAAAATAGCAATGCAACACTTGTGCCACCAACAGATGTATTACAAAAACAATTCCACTTTTTTCCTCTAAGCATGCAGCCTCAATATTGCAAACACTGTCAGTGTGCAAGCAAAATAAATGCAAAGTATGTCAACATTTGTGCTGAATGCTTTTATTGTAACTGCTGAACTAACAACCCTCATTTGCTGGAGGTTTGAGCTTAAATTGGGGCGCAAATGTGACTTGAATTCTGACTGTAATTTGAGCAAGTAATTTTTTCTCTACCCAGGAAAGCTCACAGAGACAAATGGCTCACATCTATGCTCAATTTCTACAGGTAATATGGATGCAAATGGCTCAAGCCACCTGGTCCTTCAGCCTTAAGGCTGAGCAGACTGAGCAAAGGAACCAGAGGAACTGACAGACTGAAGTTTTCTGTCCACAAACTGAGTAAAGTACATGCATCAGCCATATAGCTTCTCCATATAACATCATTCTAATGTGCTCATGACCTGAGTCCACAAGACAGTGAAAATCAGAAATAAGACCAAGTAGCAACAAACACTTTGGAGCAATAAATTTTAAAAATAAAATTAACAGTGATGTTATGTTAATCCTTTCTTACTCTAACATTGTTTTCATGTCCTTTTACTTAAAAATTTTGTGCCGTTTTTAAGTTCAATAATTTTAATCATCATAATGAAAAAAAGAAAGAAAAACTTACTCTGGTTCTGACATGAGATCAAATTTGAAATTAAAGAAAAACTAGGGAGGGGTTAGAATCTGACATTACCTTATATATGAAGACCATTCTTATGAAGAATACCACACATTCCCAAACCACAACACTATTTTAGCGACACATTTATGTTTGGCATATGCTTTTCATATCTGATGCTACAGGAATGCTTTACAGGAGCAATCTGCTAAAAGAATTAGGGCAAATACATTCAACATATAAGTCTTTCACTGCAGTGGTAATGGGAAAAAACAACTTGCTCAACTGTAGATTTAAAATCACATACATATATACAACAAGAGCATTTGCAAGTTTTTCACACAGTAAACTACCTATAACTTCCAACCCCTTGTTCACTTCTCAGTAACCCAGTCTGTCCTCCTCTCATCACTACCAATTCCAATGGAAACTTTGCCAAGGTAGAAAAACACACACCTGGGTGCTAACAGTATAAATCTGTATGTCTCGCATTAGCTGTACTTCTGACCCTTCTGTCCTAACATATTCTCACCTGTAGTACAGAAAACTCTTCCTGAGATAATTCTGGTCAACAAGAAAATGATTAGGCTCACAGTATATAGGTGCCTCCTACTCACTTTTTATCTGACTGTTCAGGTATTTTTTTGCTTACATTTCATGTTACTTATCACTATTATTCAGGCCAAATGGGACCTCACATGTAAACATTCCAATGGAAACCATTTGCAAAGTAAATCCAGAACATTGTTATAATTAGGCCTTTAGTGAACTTGTAGCACCTTGGATGCTACATCTTTGGATGTGAGAACACAACAAGATTAAAAATAAGCAGTATAAAAAAGCATAGGTTAGTGTGGTCATATCAAGAAATTAGCACAATGTAAAAAACAGAAAAAAAAAAATTAAACTTTAGTGAACTTGTAGCACCTTGGATGCTACATCTTTGGATGTGAGAACACAACAAGATTAAAAATAAGCAGTATAAAAAAGCATAGGTTAGTGTGGTCATATCAAGAAATTAGCACAATGTAAAACAGAAAAAAAAAAAATAAACTTCACTGGCCAGTGATGCTACAAGGAAATCTAAGAGAAGGCTTAGGCACAAAAGTAACATTCACTTCAAAAATATATTAAGACATAGACAGACTCCATCATTAAATGGAAACTTGAGTCTTTGCATTCAATTTCCTATCTTAAGAAAATCTTGGCAAGGCACAAATGTTGAACCAAGAACATGAGACAAATCCATCTTAAAACAAAAGGAATATTTAAAATTAGCATCATCCAGTTATTAATGACACTCCAATTCAATTTATCCCTCATATCCTACAATGACTTCAATTATGTTACACAAACAAACAAATAAAACAATGGCAGCTTATGATCACCTGAGAAGTACAGATTTCTCCAATCCTTTGAGTTTTCTTGGAAAGGCAAGAAAAAAAACATTAATGAATGGCTTCCAAAGTTAATGCCAATGACATCTTGCAGACAACTGCTACTGCTAGCTCAAATAAAATCTGTGCAGTGCTCTGCTATTTTTCAATGCAACAGAATTCTCAAAGGATGCTAACATTATATATATTTATGTGTATATATATAGTGTGTATGTATATATAAACCCAAGACAATACTCATGTGTCTGCTCCAGGGGCAGGGATCCTGACAAACTCAGATCTGCCTTACTCACCTTTACCAGCTTCCTACAAAAGAGGTAAAGTGTGAGATTGTGCTATAATGCAAAACCCATTAAGATTTCCTGATAGCTAGGAAAGTCAGTCTTCACAGTTTATGAAGAATGTCCTGAACCCCAGAAGACATGTGCTTTCCTATCACTACTTCAGTAGATGCTACTCCAGTTTTACTTGGTTTCTCATCTCAGATTTAGAAGTGGCCAAAGAACTGGGCATTTCTGCTTTCCAGTTTCCCAACTACCAGACTAATCACCTATAGCTTTACCCATATTCTCATTCTCCCAAAGGATAAGATAATTCCTATTAATATTAAGACATCCCCATTCTCTCCCACCAGTTGATATCTGCATTTAACCACTTTCACCATAGTTTGGACAAGAATTATATTTCTCTCAGTTTGTTCCTGCTCCCATGGAAGCAATCAAATTAGTATGTGTTTGTTTGGTCTTACCTACAGAACCAGACATACTGCCTGCTACCATGGGGAAATTACCCAAATACATTATTTTCTTGCTTAGTTAAATAACATGATCAATGTTTTTCAAGTTAGTAAGAAAAAGGAAAACTAACAGGAGGAAATACCCACCAATACATATCAGTCCTGTAGAGTCCAACTTGCTGCCAGGTGAACATTCACAATTGAAAGATCCAAGATTGTTCCTGCAGGCACCGTTGACACACGGGCTGCCTTCACATTCATTTATATCTGTAATCCAGAAACCAAAGACACTGTTAGAACTACCATTTGCTTCTGGAAAATATTATACAGTATAAATGCTGCTCTGGACTATGGTTTGTCAAGACTGCCCGGTATATTTGCCCCCTCTCTCCTCTCAGCCTGACATTCAAAAGACATAGGGACAGGCAGGTAACATGTAAGTGCATGTGTATAGGAGCATATATTCTGAAAATGTTAATTAAATGGATCTTTTCTACAAAGACAGTAATTTCCAACAACTTGGATTATACAGTTTTCCAGCATCAATTCTAACTGTCCTGTGAGAAAACAAAACTCTTTTTTCATAGAATGCAATGCATTCCCAGCCACAACATGCAGTGCACAAACAAAGGCCTTATTGTTTCTGTCATTTATGGCTCCATGAGGCTTTGGAAGAATTAAGAAAACCCTGTCAGAAGCAAAATATTACAATGCTGGCTGTGATTCTCTAGTTCTGGAAAGCGTTCAAGAAATAGGAGTTGAAACTGGAATACTGTAAATGGTACTTCCCTCTAGCCCCTAACTCCTTCTGTTTATTACCCTGTGAGTTTTTTAAGCCTGTTCACATGTAAGAATAGGACCCCTGCAGACAGTATTATATGCTGATTTTTTTTTTTTAAAGTGAAATCAGTTTCAAGATTAAAACAATACTAGCAAATTCTTTCAAAGAACAATTGCAGATGCATATCCACCATTTCTTCCCAAACTCAACAGATTTCATTTTTTGATTTGGGTCCTGAATCAAGCTATACATTCTAATCCAACCAGACAGTTCCTTTGGTAGGCCAGAAATAAAACTGTTTAGTGCTTGCTTATGTTTGCTAGTAGTGCTTAAGGAATAATGTCATATCCATAAACTAAAATAGCCTGATTTAAATTAATTATAAACCAATGCAGGATCTAGTTAAACACTGGAAACATTAATAGCATCAAGAGATCATTTTCAAGACAAACTAAAATATCTTCCTTATTTTTTAGAAGTCATGAAAAAGGTACCATGTGCTATTTGACATGTTATGATGCATCAAACCTTCATTTCACTAGACATGTATTCTTCCATGATCTTCTGGGGTCATTGGAAGGCATATGTGTTTAAAATACTCACCAAATTATGTATATATTATTTAAAAAAAAAGAAAGAAAAAAGAGATGGAAAATGCCCCAAAATCAGTAAACTTAGGAAACTGATCTCTCTCTTCATGCCAAAAGCAAGCACTTACTTTAAAAACCAACTTTCATAGTCCCTTTACTTAACAGAATTACCTACAAAAAGGACATAGGAGTTGTCCTTGAACACTACTAAGTTTTTGAATAGCAACAAGAGCTTTACAACTGTGAAGTCTACTCTTAAACTTGTGGATTATCCAGCTTGCACATTAATCATACACAGATGCAGAGATATAAAATCTAGGAGGCCTTATCAGGTCAAGACAGTGTGTTACATGAACACACCCACACAGCTGTGATGGCTGGCTGTACTGGGCTGAGTGCATCAGCAGCGCCCAAGCTGGTAAGCCCCATCCTACTATGGGCTGGCAGTCCCGGAGGGCATTAGGCAGAGCTTCCCCATTTCCTTGCAAACAGTCTGCTTAGACACAGCTGGTCATGTTCTCTCAGGTTGGAGAGCATGGAGAGTGCAGCATGGTGTATGAGCCGGCAGGGCCAGGCTGGGTCTGGCACTGCTCGTGTACTGACTTGGTGTGCTGGGAAGTGCAGTACACAGGTGATCAACTGGATCTAGAAAGTCAGTTAGTTCTGACATTTCAAGCTCTTAAGTCCCTCTGTTATCCAAGCTGGCAATCTGGAGGACTCGCCAACATTTATCTACTCTGCATCCCTTCTCCTCCCTGTAAATATATTTCATATTTTATTACCTAAGGTTTTATTATCCAAGGCATGCTCCCTGCCTCCCTTGCCTCCCGCTCTCTCCCTAGCCAGCAATACCTGGTAGTAGAGAACAGTCTCTGCTGCTTTTGCAGAGAACCCAAATATCTGGTTCCTACAATTAGAAACAGATCACACTGAAACAAAGAAGTCATCCTAAATATGCACTATATGTCAAATAATCCTCTGTATAGAAATGCTCTTGGAGAAAGACACGTTTTTTCTTCCTTTCCATATGCCATCTTGCTTTCAGCAGTTTGGCTAGCTTAAAAAGATGAGAAAAATTGAAAAGACAGGACAAATCAACTAAATTTAAGCTATATATAGTTTCTCCCTGTCAAAGGCATCAAATGTTCACCATCTCTTAAAGTCCAAGAACAAAGCAACATTCGATGAAGCAGGCTGGTAGCAAAACAAGTAAAGAAATGGTTGTTTACACAACAGGTAGAGAAATTGGAAATCCTTGCCCTAGGATGCTGAATTAATCAATGGCAGTCTGGACAAGTTCATAGAAGATAAACTCACCAAGGTCTGTATAAGGTAAAGATCCTACTTCTGGTGTCAGAAGCCCCTGAACCACAACTGTTGGGGATTCAGAGAGTATTTTTGGAAAGTAATGTTGTATACTTGCTCTGTTGTAAGTCAGAGGGATCTTTGATCAGTTTCTGCATTTATGTCTTTGCTTTTCTGCAAACAAAAAAACCCAACCAAACAAAAAAGAAACAAAAACCAAACCCAATGCTTTCAGGCATTAACAGGTTTTTAATATTGCACTGACTACTCCCCGAAACCACCATTCAAAAAAAAAAAATTAAAGGATGAATGCACTTCAGCATTAGTGCTCTGCTGAATCAGGCGAAAAGATATCATATGCCCAATGTAAACAAACTCCAAAATTTGTTTCCATATATCTTCTTATAATAATATTAAATGGTAGTTTTAACAAGAGTGAGCAAGAAACCAAATTGATTTTAATACTGTTTTATATTTTAAAATAAAAGCCACTATGTATGAAAATATTTATCAGGGTTTTTTTAAAAAACATTTTTTTTCTTAAGTGAAGTGAGTGTACATTGTAAATGTCAGAGAAACAAAAATTGAAACAGTCCACTGTACATTCCTGGAAATGAACTTCAAAGCACATCTGGTTTACGTTTAACTAGTTATGTCACTGGAAACACAATCTAAACCACAGAGCTTGTTGTAAAAATCTCAACTTTCACAGACTCTGGAGCCTCAAACAACTTCCCCACTCCCCAAAACAAATTGATAAAAAATTTCAATTGAACTATAAATGAAAACAGTGAAGCGTTTTGTTGTTTCTTCACAGTTACTGATGAGAGTTATATTAATTAAAAAAATACTGGTGACTAATAATCAGAGCATTTTCAGAGCACAACACAAAGTTTCTGGCTACAGAAATTTTTTACAACTAGTGAACTTGTAACTCCAAACTGAATTACATAGTGTTTTTTTGAACAGAATTTGGACAGAAAGAGATGAATTTATTCCTCTATTGCCAACCCACTCAACATCAGAAAAAACGTAATACATTTAATAGGTTTTATAGACAGTTTTATGCCAAACTCCTCCTGATCAGCTTTTTTACCTGATCAGCTAAATTTAAACATCAGTCTATGAGATGAAGATGACAGCTCGTTCATGACCTATGTATGTAAGTTAACGTAGATAACAATATTGAAAGAAACTGAAAATCTTTCAGATTCTGCTGTACAGACAATAAAAAAACTGAGAAGTATTTTAGGGTGATTAAACTATGTTCAGAAAGGAAATATTCTTACAAATCTGAAGTTTCAGTTAATGATCAGTTGTTTGTTGTTTGTTTCCCCCAAATGAGAAAACAGGATTTTTTTTCTTCCATTAACAAAAAGTGTTGTTGTTTTAAATATTACTGCAGCATTCATGCCCAATCACAACCTCATTGCTCAGAGTTCAGCAGACATACAGGATTATGAAATACAGCCAAGAGAAGCACAACCACTGTTATTCTATGAAGATGGTAAAATATCCTCCTTTTCAGTAACAAGCTAAACCTGATGACCACCATGAAAGGGAGACGAGACAGGGACAGATCTATCCTTTTTTGGAATCTTTAGGAATATCAAATAATACTCTTTCATTAGTCTGTGCAAGAGCCATAGTACAAATATTGCAAACATATACAGATGCATGTTCTTTTATGAATACCTAAAAAAAAATGTTCAAAAAAGAAAACAAAATTAAATGCATTACTTAAAATCTAACCAAACCCTGCAAATAGAAACCCAAACAGCCTAACTTAATGAGCCTGAATGATCATCTCAGTAATTATTCTTTGAAAATACAACAGATTTTAATTTACATAACAACCTGCTTAAATAAGGTGTGTGTGTGTTTTCTATCTCATGCTCAGGTTGGCTTGAGTTGTGAAGTATCTCAGTTCCTGTATTAATAGTTGACTGTCAGAGGCACTATAATGTGTTATTCATGTTTTTAGAATTGATTCATAAACTGATAATTTGGGGAATGCACCTAATTCCCTTAGACAAAACCTAAAAGTGGCCACATTCCTTAGAAAAATGTGCTAAGGTGCCATTAAGATGGAGCATGCTTGCCATTTGGACTTCTGCTAGTATCTTCTCTTCATATATTTTTCCTGTAAATTCTATTTTATCTTAACTGTAACTTTTTTTTTTTTTTGATACTATGGTTTTGCAGTCAGTATCAGCTGGCAATGTTATCTAAAGAAGTCACCCTCTTCTTAATAAACCGTTAATTCAAATGAACTAGTAAACTCATTTCCACTCCAGAATAACTCTCCCTCACGCTATTCTCCACTACACCCCCCTCACAAAAAAACTAAGATAAGGGACTCCCAGATTTGGTTCACTATATCATGATCCCCAAACTTCTTCTGGCAGCAAAGAAAACACACTGCAGTGATGATAAGGATGTCCAGGAGACAGAAAAGATCACTTTTTTCCTAAGGCTGTGGTGGCTCAATGAAACCATGAAACCACTTTTTTGTTGTTGTCACACCCTTATTTTGAGCCTTTATATTAATATTACTATTATTATTACTACCATTAAAAACAAATTTATGTTTTATATTTGAAAATCCAGATACATTTTATTTCAATAATTTTGGCTAGGTTGTTTGCATTCTTGCATCTCATTCATCTACCTTTTGGTCAGTGTTACGCTCTGAAGTTGATGGCCTTTTCATCTTGGTAATTAACATCTCCCTTTTTCCAGTTTTCTGTCTAGAAGATTCCTTAAGAAACATGCACAGTAAGGGCACACAGTAAGCTATTTTCACAGCTAGAAATCTTACACGTAGACAGACCCTGAAGAATAAATTTCACCTGCACATTCTGGATAGATACTAGGCATTGAGACAACTTAGCAGAGGGAGCACTATAAATCCATGGGGTATGATATAAGAAAAGCCCTAATCTGAACAAGTGCTCCTAATTTGTAACATAAGGGGAGAGAAGAAATTTTAACTTTCAAAAGTGACCTCTGAAACACACAGTCACTAAAATATAAAGGAACATAATTTCTTTTGAACAGAAGGGGTGAAGAGGTGAATGATTTGATACTGCCAGCATTTAAACCATTTCATGAGATGTTTTGAATGTAAACACATCTTCACTTTCCAAACAGTTGGAGACATTCAAAACACTATTGCCCCCCCATGTTGCTTGCTTCCACTCCTCTGCTGAAAACTGGCAAAGAGCACATGAGTGCTCCTCACCTGCTTCAGTGGAAAGCTAGCCCGTTCAGCATATGCTGCTAAGGAAATGGTTTAAGTTAACCTGACTGATCTTACACAGCAAGAATGGTTTACAGAGTGCTTCCACTTTCCTTTCTATATGTTTGTTTAGCTGTATGGCAGTAACTTCTGTCTGATCAGTAATAACAAGCAGCTGAGAACAATAATGTCTTCCACTGCTTCAGACAAATCTGGACGATGACATTGGTTTACATAATAGTTATTCCATAACAAAGGATTATAGCTTCCCATCATTCAATCAAACACAAGACTATTTACTATAAAAACTTTCTAATATTGAGATTTACAGATGATGGAATCTGTATATAAAATAACTAGATAATAAAAAATAATGCAATAGACTAGTAAAATTCTGCTACTCTGAATACTAATTAAAAATTGAGACAAAAGCTAATGCTTGTATTTTGACTTTTTTGTACAGCCTTGCTTAATTTGTTTTTATAATTAAACTTATTAGTTTCTGCTATGTAACATTTTCATTGATCTAACATCTGTGTTCATTACTAACATAAAGAAGCAATTTTGACTATACTGTAAAAATAAAGGACAATTTTAGTATCACCAGGCAGTAATACCAGATGCTTGAATTCAAGCATCACATAAACCATCACAAATACCAGAATTTGACTGAGAATTAACTATTGCCACAGATTGAAGGGAGAAAAGAAAGAAGAGACTCTGTGATGAAAATAGATGCATTTCCCTAAATGACAGACTAGGTGTCCCTGCTACATGATCAAAGGCAAGCATATATTCCCCTTTATTCCAGCTTAAAAATGTTTTATCTAAGGAAAGGACAACATTTTCATATAAAAATGAACTGATTACTTTGAAAGAAATTAAATGGTAAGATTCAACACACTAAAAAATACTTCAAAGAAATTACAAGAGGAATGAAATGATTTATGCAGTATCTTAGTTCTGTCTTTTCCTCTGGTATTGGTCACCACTCTGAATCTTTTGTGATCATTTAGCTTTAATGTTATATAATCAGCAATAAAATTAACACAACTTGCAGATTTTTCACCTTCACATGTGTCTGTCTCAGTGCTGAATACATAACCCTTTGGACAAGTGCAGCTGTAACTTCCAGGGGTGTTTCGACAGAGCCCGTTGTCACACAGAAGCCCGTTCACTGAACATTCATCAATGTCTGCAAAAAGATGAGTTAGAGATACCAATGAGTGCAAATGCCATGAGATCCCTTCACGTCCACAAGTAACCCCTGTTGCTTTCTACAGCAACAATTAGGTTGCTGGATATGTAGTTTTCTACAACAGTGACGGAGCAAGGAAAAATGCCATTCCTCTAGTTTTGAAAGTCTCATTCATTTTCAGATTCTTATTAGCAAAAGTTCTGTCCTGCTTTTAAAGTTTTTCATTAGCAGGCTCTAAAAATAGTTCATGGTTAGTCTTAAAATAATAATTATGTTTTCCTGGAATGACCTTGGGATCTTTGTCAATTATATGACTATATCGCCATGACAACTTCACGAAGGACTATTTGCTTTGAAACCAGCATTTTAATTTTTTTTTTAAAACACACTAATAATGGTGTGTTAGATTACTGTTCTAATCCCATTTTATGGGCAAAAATTGATTTTGTTATCCATGAAGTGAATATGTGTGTTAAAATCTAAATTGTGCAGTTCACGTATAGCAGACATCTCAAGAGTATACACATCTACCTCCCCTCCAGAGGTATACTGTATGAAAAAAACCCCTATGATTAAGACCAGGGTATCAAGCACACTGAATAGGAAAAACCCATAAATTAACATCACTCCCTGAACTCCTCTTATATTAACTGCAAATAATGCTAACAAAAAGCAATCAAACTTCCTCATTGACCTATTATTTTTAAAAAGAAAAAAAACAATTATAATTTTAAGCTACTTTCCTTCAATGCCCATCACATGTCACAGATACTTAAGCTTGTAGACGAATACTGACAGGATAAGCCACAATCAACCTGACACGTGATCCTGCTTCAGGGTGTCTCCTGTATTTTGACTGCTTAATTTCCCAAACTTAACACTGCAACTGAAATCTTAAATCAACTAGATTTTTTAGAGCGTTTAAGTTTAAAAATAAAGAAGAAAACCAAGAATGCAATATAATTACAATCTGCAGACTTTTGGTTTCCCAACTACATTAGAATTTGCAAGCTATGCTTAAGAATTCCTTTAGGATTCAGACAATAAAGTCTAAATTTCCCCAGACGATGAAACTGAGATTTAAGTTTGGCAGCTGTAAAGAAGCTCTTCTAAACTAACCTGTCCTTAATCTAACCTCATCTTTAACTAAATAAAGGAGAATGGATTTGGAATTTGATGTTTTCAAGAGCAACAGACTTTAATTTTGAGCTCGCTGTCATACAATCCTTTAACCCAAACCAGCAGTGTTATGTACGTATTATTTCCTTAGAATCTCACAGAATAACTTCAGATTTGGACTGTAATCTATTGTGATATGCACCGTAAAAACACAGAACGATATAGCTCATGCTCAAAACCACTTAAAACTGACAAAAGTACTGCCTGCATTCTGTATGATGACCATTTTTATTTCCTGGCAGCTCATAATCTGTATCACTAATTAAAACATTTCAACCCTTCAGTGTTCATAATTAAATTATTTTGTGCAAAAATTCTCCTACCTAAGAACAAACGCATCCTCACAGTCAGTATGCTGTATTTTTATTTAAATAATTAAACAGACATATACTAGCACTTACATAATCCCAAGTGTAACTAGATAAATAAAATCCCTTGCCATAAAATCCATTTGGAAAAGGAATATTATGTGAAGTATTTTAAATAACCACCAACAGTTTTCTGCAGCAGTGCCTTTCCTGCCAAAAGTTCATATTCAGGGCCTTTAGAAAGTAACTAGCTGTAAAATTCCTTAAGTCAAACAGATGAAAAGAAACACTTTTATTACTTTGTGTTTGCTTTGTATCACTAGGTAGGAATGTTTGGTATTAAAATTATACCACAGTTATATAGTCCAGGTTTTCCCTATCAAAAATGGTGGGGTTTTGTTGATCACAAATACCAGTGATAGGTCAGTAAACCTTCAAGTGTAGAGAGCAATAATTCCCCAAAATAAACACATCAGATGGTAGGACAATATTTAAGACTTTCTAATGTTTTCCAATAGATTTCCATTAGCTTTTAATGCAAACAAACTTCAGTTTTCTGTTTAAAATTGCAGGACTATAACAGGACTATAAACAATATTATTGTATAATGTACCTGTGGTATAATACATTTTTTGGATATAAGAATTCCCCCCCCCCCCCCAAAAAATACTGAATTTCATGTATGACCATGAATAATAAAGTAATTAGGGAGTGAAATGTGTAACACAGGTATCTTCTGTTGGGTATTCCTAAACACTTATAGAAAATGTATCTAGACACTGCAACAACAGTCTGGTATAAACCTAAACTGAACTACAAATGAGAATTAAAAGCTTCTGAAGTGAATCATTCCTGTATACTGATGACTTGAAATTCTGAAGAATAAAAGAATAGCTGTTACACTTGAGCCCACTGTTTGGACATGATCTGTGAAATCCTAAGAGTGGGTCATTGCTTCCTTCATGAGTTGAAGTTTTCAGAAATTAGAGGACTAAGCATGCAGCAAGCCACTCTGCTGTACTCATGTAACTTGTGACATCATGAATTACTGCATACTGCAGAGATTGTGTACACAGGCCACCAGTTATCATTCATTATGATAATGACAGCCATCTGTCACATTTTATTATGCAAAATTGTGACCTTCAGCTCTTGTAAAATTATCATCCAGCCTTGAAAGGGACACATTTTAGATGGTCTTGACAAATGTTACACATTAAAATATAGCACAATCTGATCCATGTTTTTGAGAAAAGTAATTCCTAACCTGTAATGATATCTCCTGCTTAAACTTCCCAAACAGTAATACCCCCCGCCAAATGACAGAAAAGTACCCCAGTAAGAATATTAGCTATGCAGTGACTGAGAAAAGCAGTTTCATTAGAGATTTTTTGCATTTTCATTGTAGCTTTAGGAAGTAGATGTCTTGCAACATAAATTCTGTCAATTCAAATTAGCATCAGTAGTGATGAATTATTCAACAACAATAAAAAAATTTAGCAACTTACCCACACAATTCCTTCCAGAAGGATCAGGCTCATAGCCACTGTTACAGTTACAACGATAACTGCCACGTAAGTTTTCACAAATTCCATTGGAGCAAATATCAGGATCCAATGCACACTCATTAATATCTGTATTAACACAACACAGAAGATAACCAGATACTGAAAGACATGAAAAACCTGATCCTGTCATAGATGTGGACAACATCTGACTCACTGGATGTTGGGGCTGTCATTCAGAGCAAGGGTGTAGCAAGGGTGCAGCCAGAAGCCTGAAAGAAGTGATTATTCCCCTCTATTTGACACTAGTGAGTCCAAATCTGGAATACTGTTATCCAGTTTTGGGCCACTTAATAAAGTTCACAAGGGCCCACTCCTCAAGCCTGTCAAGGTCCCTCTGGATGGTATCTCTTGCCTCTAGCAAATCAACTGCACCACTCAGCTTGGTGTCATCCGCAAACTTGCTGAGGGTGCACTCAATCCCACTACCTATGTCACTGATGATGACATTAAACAGTATTGGTCCCAGTATGGACACTTGAGGGACATCACTTGTTACTGGTTTCCTCTTGGACATTGAGTCATTGACCGCAACTCTTTGCGCATGAATATCCAGCCAATTCCTTATCTATCTAACAGTCCATTCATCAAAACCACCTATCTCCAACTTAGTAAGAGAGAAAAATGTTGGGGGGGGACAGTATCAAAGGCCTTACGGAAGTCAAGGTAGATGACATCCATAGCTCTTCCCTTTTCCACTGGCGCAGTCACTCCATCATGGAAGGCCACCAGATTAGTCAGGCATGATTTGCCCTTGGTGAAGCCATGTTGGCTGTCTCTAATCACCTCTATCTTCCATGTTTTGACGTAACTTCCAGGAGGATCTGCTCCATAATCTTATTGTGTATTGAGGTGAGGCTGACTGGTCGGTAGTTCCCAGGGTCCTCCTTTTTACCCTTTTTTAAAAGTGGGTGTGATATTCCCTTTTCTGTACTCACTGGGGACTTCGCCTGACTGCCATTTTTCAAATATGATGGATAGTGGCTTAGCGACTACATCTGTCAGTTCCCTCAAGAGCCTGGGATGCATCTCATCAGGTCCGATGGACTTGTGTATATTCAGGTTCCTCGGATGGTATTGAACCCGATCTTCTCCGATGACGGGAGGGACTTTGTTCCCCCAGTCCCTGCCTTGATGTTCAGAGACTTGAGAGATATGGGAAGAGTGATTACCAATGAAAACTCAGACAAAAAAATTGTTGAGTACCTCAGCCTTCTCCATGTTGGTTGTCACTAGTTCTCTTGTCTTATTTATCATGTTTTTGTGTGTCTGTGTACATTTTCTTGTAATCTTCCTTTTCTGACCAACGTACCTGTAGAAGCCTGTTATATTCTTCTCTTTCCTTGTCAAACTCAGCTCCAGCTGTGCCTTGGCTTTCCTGATTCCATGCCTACACATCTGGGCAGTGTCCCTATATTCTTCCCAGGACACGTGACCCTGGTTCCACTGCCTATGCATTTCCTTCTTACACTTTAGCCTGACCAGGAGGTCCTTACTCAGCCATGCTGGTCTCCTGCCTTCCTTGCCTGATTTCTTACACATGGGAATTGAGAGCTCTTGCAATCTAAGGAAAATGTCCTTAAAGAGCTGCCAGCTCTGTTCTGCTCCTTTATACCTGAAGGCAGTTTCCCAGGGGGTTCCACCCACTAATTTCTTAAACAACTGAAAGTTTGCTCTCTTAAAATTCAGGGTCCTGGCTTTACTCTTCACCTGGCCTGTATCCCTCAAGATTGTGAGTTCCACCAGGGCATGATCACTGCAGCCCAGGCTGCCATCAGTCTTGACTTCACTAATTAGTTCATCTGTGTTGGTATGCAACAGGTCCAGTAACGCTTCTCCTCCGTTAGGCTGTCTACCACCTGGATTAAGAAATTATCCTTAGAGTCTCCTGGACTACATACAGTTTGCTGTGCTGCTTTCCCAGCAGATGTCAGGGTGATTGAAGTCCCCTTGCAGGATCAGTGCCTGATGTATGAGAAAAGGCTGAGGGAACTGGACTTGTTTAGCCAGCAAGAAGGGAAGATGAGAGGGACATCTAATAGCAGTTCTCTGATCTTAATAGATGGTTACAGAGAAGATGGAGCCAGGCTCTTCTTTGAGGTACACAATGACAGGGCAAGAGACAACAGTTACAAGTTACAACATGGGAAATTTTAACTGAACACCAGGAAAACAATTCTCCCCCATGAGAGTGATTAAGCACTACAGCAAGCTGCCCAGAGAGGCTATGGGAACTCCATCCTTGGAGATTTTCCAAACTCCACTGAGCAAGGCCTTGAGAAACCTGATTCAACTTTGAAGTTACCCCTGCTCTGGGCAGAAGGTTAGGTTGGATGACCTCCAGATATCGCTTCTAACCTAAATCAGTAGGGAACTATGTGTTTGTAGGAATACCTTGATACAAAATACCTAGCCTATACACTTAGTGCCTGTGGTTTAAGGATCTAGGTAAGAAGTTATAAATTATTTGGTGACACAAATACTTTTCCTAATACAGGACTAATGCATAGGTCAATACCACAGTATACTCAGTCTTATAGAAATTATAGCACTTGTTGGAAATTTAAAATTCTTCTCAGATCAACAGAATAGGATGACAAATGAGATACATTCTCTGAATTTAGAATCCCATATAGAATTTCTGCTGTAGTTGGAAAATTCCGAAATATTTATATGAACTATAAGAACAGGAACAGGCTAGTGTTAGTATTTTTTGCCTCTGAGGAAAAGAGGGTTTTTCAATATTAAGTTATTTCTTCCCATACGGTAAGCCCATTACTTTAAACAGTTCCCCTTCCAAACCCTGGAAAGAACAGTAGGGGTGCTGGCCTAGCTGTGACTTCATAAAAAGCTTGTTTCATACTTGTACTGCTCAACTTTTTGTAAAGGACATTTCCTCTTTAATCATAGTGCAGTTCAGATCATGATTTACATATACTCAGATATGCATTTGGAAAAATCATGCTGTCCCTGGATTAAACTCAAAGCTATGAGACATCTGAAAATTTCGTAAGAAAATATGAATTAGCATAATATTCAGTTTTGTTTTCTTTTGAGTCAAAAGTTTTCTGTAGTTTACTACACTTGTTTATATCTTGGGGACAAGTCACACAATTTCATGACTTTATCTCTCCTTATCAAATTAATGATTTCAGAAGGTCCAGTCCTTCCTGTTACTTTTTATATTGAACCAGATCACAAAATCTCTGTCCTCGCCTATGTCCAAATTTCTCTCACACAAAGACATGAAGGTTTTGTGCTTGTTAATCACAAGCTGAACAAGAGGAGTAGGGAAGTGGTGATGGACTGCAGTCTAATTAACAAGCTATGCATCAACCAGAAGTCAAATAGTCTCGATGACAAGAGCATCACTGATAAAGTGTATTCCCGCTTGCTCTTGATAATAAAAATGCATGAGGAACACAGCAGAATTTTTATTAGGGACTGAATGTGGGATCAGTACTCCTCTCCTTTAGGAAATGGAATTGGCAAACAAAGTCCCTTGGTATAAGCAGTGGTAGGAGTAGCAGCAAGAAAATTGTCTGCAAGGTTGCTGCACAAGATGTACAGAAAATACTAGGGTTTTCTTCAGAAACCTAAACAAAGAGGGATTTTAGTTGAGACATGAACCCCCAAGAGATTATAGTCTTCATCATGAAGTTGGTAAAGACCACAACTGGTTTTACATTTATAGTGAGGAATTGTATTTTCCATGTATCCTAAAGAACACATAACCTCCCTACCAGACTACATGCAAATTCTCATGGTAGGATGCTGTTTGTACAACAATATTATGGTACACTGCCATTATTCCTCCATGAGATTTAGAGATTCTTCAAATGGACTTTGTAAAATTCACTGAAAAGAAAACTGAGAGAATTTACAAACGCCACGGATTTCAAATTACTTGTAAGTTTGGCAACATGTTAAGCAATGAGCTCACAGACAAGAAAAAACTATGCATACGCATTTACAGTACCGAACAGAAACAGAATTTCTTTTATTATAGTACTATTTTTAAAAGTTATGTAGGCTGTTAATAAGTATAATGATCAGAGACTCT